AATTTAAATAATTAATATAATTTATTTATAATAATATCTAAAATGTTTGAGAATAGAATTTCTTTCTAGAGAATTCAATAAGATTTTGAGAACATGAAATAAATATATAAGTAAAGAAATATTCTGATTTGAAAATCAAATAACTTAAATTTATTTTATCAATTCATAAAAGCAATTAATACTCTTTACTTTAAAGATAGAATTGCTTAAACTTAAAAACTCTTACAAAATTACCCTATTTAAATAAATCTATCATAAAAAAAGGAAATATAACAATTAAATAAAATCACTGAGATTCCACCAATTAACAATTATAAAACTGTCAAGTTACACCTCATAATGAATAAGTTGATTAGTTATAATCTTAATTCATACAACTTGAGAAGAGACAAAAGTTTCATTAAAATCCAAGTAGAGGAATGACAATAGGAACACCTAACTGTCCATCTTAGTAGAGATTTTTGTAGTAGATATACCTAAAATGGGGAAATCTCATTTTAAAGATGATTAAGAATGGAATTATAATATAATAACTGGTATTTAAAAAAAATTGAATAAAATGAGTTATAAGAAACATTAAATATAATTAACAGATGAAACTTTAAATAAAATTAATAGCAATCCTATATATAAAAATATCTACATAAATAATTTATTTATAATAATATTATAATATCAATTGAAATTATATAAATGTTGACCTAATTTCAAGATTACTAAAACTTTTGTTATTATTATTTATTCAAATTTTTGATGTTAAGATACAAATTTATTATTATATCGATTCTAATTATAGTTATAATCACTTACATCATTATATGTTTAAACGAATAGATTATAAAAATGAAGTTTAAGTTTGACAATCCTATTTTTAATTCCAATTTCCTTCGTGAAATATTTAATTTAATAACTTCAAAGCTCTATTAAGAGTAAAATAATTCTATCTATATACTTAAAGGATCATATTCTATTTATGTAAAGTAGTCATATAATGTTTTAATTCATAAGTTATGATTAATAATATTCAGATGAATTGGAAAATAAGTTAAATCTATACACAAATTTTGAATCCATAATATTCTACATCGAAAATTTCTTCGCCATATGATAAACTCTTAAAACTGTTTAAGTAATATAATTGTACAAATGTTATAGTTAATAATGTAAATAATATTAGATACTGCACAGTCTAAATGATACTAAAATAGTATTGATTCAATTTGGAAGTATTTAAGATAGGAGCATTCATTATCAAGTTGCCTAATTTTCAATAAATTACGTAAAAATGAATGAAAGCATATTAAATATTTTATATCATGTTTAGCTAAACATATTTTATTTATTGATGGAGATGAAGATACTATAAAGAGATAGCCATTTTTTCAATAATTCGTTTAGCTTTTGCCAATAATAAAAATGAATTATCAATTGGCTTAGGAGGTTTAATGTCAAGATCTGCTTCTTCACATTATATTTGTAAAGTAAAGTAAGAAGTTGGAAAGTGTATTGGAGGAATAATTCTTACAGCATCTCCAAATCTGGCTGGTAAAAAACATGAAGAATTAATTTAATTTAAGAAAAGGTACTCCTGAGGATTTAATTAATTAAATTTATATATCATACAACTAAAATTAAATAATATCAAACAGTAGATTATGAATTTGAGAAACATATAAATTTAGACTAAATAGGATTTTATAAATTTGAAAGGACTAGATTAGAGAAATCAAGTTTAGAAGTGAAAATAATTGATACAGCTAAAGATTATACTGATTTGATTTTGATTTGTTACACAGTTTATTCTCAATAAAGGTAAATTTGATTTAATATTAAATAATAAGTTTTTTCATTTAGATTAAATTGAATACATGATGATGCTGGACTTTATGCAAAACATTTTTAAGCACTTTTTTTAGGTTGTTCAAAAGAATCTATATTAAATTTTATACATCTGAAGATTTTGGATGTAGTCATCCAGATCCAAATTTAACATATGTCAAGATTTAGTTGAATTATTAGATATTCATAAAAAGAAGAATATAAATATAGTACCATAATTTGGTCCTGTATGTGATAAAAATGCAGATAGAAATATGATATTAGGTAGTTGATTCTTTGTAACACCATCTGATTCATTAGATATATTAGCAGCTAAAGCTGATTTAATGAAACTTTATGAGCTTTAGATAAGGTTGCTTTAAATTATAAAATTAAATTCTTTGAAAATTTAATGTATGCAAGATTGATTAACTAATCATATTATGAAAAAGATGGAATTTAGGCAAATTTAGCATGGTTAACTATTTTAGCACATAAAGATAAAAATTCTGATCATTTTGTTCCAGTTGAAGAAATTATTACATAAAATTGGTAATAATTTGGAAGATATTATTACCCAAGATATTATTAAGAATAAGTTGATTTAGCTGATACCAATAAAATGATGGAACGTTGATTAATCTGTTTTCAAAAATTTAAGGACTAAGATTTGTTTTTAGAGATGGATCTAGAATTATATTTAAATTAAATGGAACTGGATCTGTAGGTGCTACTATTAAATTTTATTTTGAATAATTTAAATAAGTAGATATCTAACATGAAACTGCTACGGCTTTAGCTAATATTATAAAACTTGGTTTAGAGTAAAGTGATATTGCTAATTTTACAGGAAGAAATGAACCAAACAATCATATTATTAAATAAATATTCAAAGTATATATTAATTTGATTGTTAAACCAATATTTTCATTATTATGCTTTTTTAGAAAATTCTTATTAACTTATTATAAAACTCTTTATGCTTTTAGAGTTAATACTTAATGATAAGCATAAAAAATAACTAATCATATATTTTTTTATCAATCTTATTTGATTTGAGGCACAAATACTGCCAAAATCAAATAAATTAATTTAATTTTAATGATAAATTGTAATGAAGTTTCTCTTATTAAAATGTCAAATGGTAAAGAGAATGAATTAAAAATTTTAATTTAATTAATTGATGTTTACAAGAATAGAAACAAGAAATAATGAAATAAATATTGAAATGAGAATCGATGATCAATATAACATTAAAACCTATAGAGAGTAGATTAATGTAAGAAGAATATTTAGCTGAAATATTTGAATTGATAGGAGATGATGCATATAGAAATTTAGGATTTATCCTTAAGTAATTTGTAAAAATAGTTTTAAAAAATCTATTTATAAGGTTAAAAATTAATATTCAATCTAATTGTTTGTTATTCAATAGTTACCTATAATTGTAGAGTAAATTAAGAAACCATAATCTGGATATGTGGAATTAAAATATCATGTTTTACCATTTATGAATATATTCTTGAACATTAAGACTTTGATGTAAAGTTGCTATTTTGGCACATTTAATTGAAATGGCTCATGATTAAAGCAGCTTCGCTCTTTTCAATAAAATATTGTGAGTCTTATATTTGCGGAGAACTTTTATCTCTTTTTATAGATTGAAATGAGCTTACATATATATTAGAAGGTCTATCTTTGAAATGTAGAATTTAAAATTGTACCATTCTTTTTTTAGTTTATAAAATTATAAAATAATCTATATTATTTAGATGGAGTAGATGTAAAATCAATAATATAATAATACTTTATAGCTTGTTTACAAATGCGCATATTAGTTTCCAGGAGTACTTTAAGCAATAGGCCGTAATTGTTAGAAAATAAT